GACATCATGTACAGGTGTACTGGACTGTGAGTGACCTATTCAAGGTGTAAGACCAAGGCAGATTGCTGCTCTCAGCATTGATTTCTTCACTGACCTTTGTGACGTCTCACCCTAGGTGATGAGACCCCCTTGTGGTCAGGCTTTTTCAAACACCTTGGTTGATTAAGAGTCCAATACCTTGTGGAGTTTGCAGTGAGACAGATGACTTGATTCACAAAGTGAGGGCCATTATCACTGTAAATGGTTTCAGGGATCCCATGTACAGGAACAATGTTTTTGCAAATAGCCTTAGCTACAGTTTGTGCATCTGCATGCTTAGAGGGGACTATTTCAACCCATTTAGAGAAAGCGTCAAACATTACATGGCAATACTTGTATGTTCCACTTTGTGTCAGTTCAATGAAATCCATGTATATTTTTTGAAATGGGTAATTTGGAACAGGAAAAGAGCCTCTTTTAGGTCTCATGTTTCCTTGTGGATTGTGTCTTATGCATGTTGGACAGGTTTTACAAAAGCCTTTTAAGTATGATTCAAGTCCATAAGTTGTGAAATATTTCTGAATTTGGCCAATCTTCCCCCACTCGACACATGTCAAAGCCCATGTGACAAGATTGTAGCGGCTTTGAATAAAGATTTAGGTAAAACTGGCTTATTATTAACATGATAAAAGCTTTCAGTATTCAGTGTGGCACCTTTTGTTTCCCATAACTGCTTTTCTTTTTTGGGTGCGGCGCGTTGCATGTCCAAAAGTACCGATTTGTCAATCATATCAGCTGTTTGCGTAGTTAGTAGGTAGCTAGAACCATAGATACCTGCAGCTGCTCTTTTAGCTTCTTGGTCAGCTAATCTGTTACCATTTGATACTGTGTCTTTGCCTTTAGTGTGAGCTGCACATTTACAAACAGCAATCTTGCTTGGCAAGTGAATTGATTGTAGCAGTTCAGTTAATAGTGTAGCATGTGTAACTGGCTTCCCAGTAGAGGTCGTCATACCTCTATTCTCCCATTGTTTCGCAAAATAGAAAAGAGTTGAAAAAGCATACTGACTGTCAGTGTATACAGTCACATCCTGATTTTCTGCTAACTGGTAGGCACATGTCATAAATCAAATTTAGCAAAGGCTGAGTCAGTTCTGCATAGTGTGGGATATAAGATCTTCACCAAAATCATCATTATAAAACACATCTGTTTTACCTCCTGCACAACTTCCTGTTTTCCTCTTCAACACTTTCTCAGCATGATGTGCCCATTGCATCCGAAATTCTACTGAGCACATATCCATCTGAACAAGATGCTTTCTCACCCAATTTGAAATATCTGGGCGAAAAAACTTTAACAAACTATTTTTCAACTGCTGCTGATAAGCTGAGTCTACCTGTTCAACGTAATCAATTCCACTGTACACTCTAAATTCTGTCTCAAATCTGATCTGGAAATCATCAACTTCCTCATTTGCTTTCTGTTTTACTGCTGACAAAGCTGCATAGTCAACTTTTTGTTTAAAGGTGGTGTACACTCTCTCACAGAGAGCCCGCCATTGTTCCTTGTATACTCCTGTCAGCTTGTTGTCATCTAGATAAGGGCAGGGAGTACCATCGTTTCGCCTCCCTGTGTAATTTCCCCTTACTCTTGCCCAAAATTTGTCCAGAGATGATTGGGCGGCCTCTCTGTTTCCTGTCCATTAAGGCGATAAGAGTGTATAATACCCTCCATATCCTGTATCCACACCTGAGGGTCCTCTACAGGACTAGTCACTTCTTCTACAGCTTTTCTTGATTCCTCAAGTGTCCATGGTCTGAACACAAGTCCAAATTGGGAACCCCCATCAGTAGCACAGGGATTCATGACTTGTATCAGAGGGAATGTGTTTACATTACCTTGTTCATGTGAGGCTGTACCACTTCTCAGGCTATTTTTTATGCTGACGCCTGTTTTTTTAGGTAAGTTTGAGAGTGCGTCCAGGCGTTTGTCAGCATTTGCTAAGTCCTGGGTTGGCTAAACAGATCCTGTGGAAAGTGGGGTCATGGTGTCAGTCGTAGTCTGGTCATATGGGGGAGGGCACCTAGGTCCTGTCTCGTTATCTTCTGGTTTCACAAAGAGGGCGGTTGCTTTATTTGTTTTAGTTTGTTTAGTTTGGACAATTATCAAATTTCTCCTCACTTGGGATTCAGTTTGCCAGATTTTTGCACATTTTAGTTGTTCATCCATTTTTGTTTTCCTCCTTTTACTTTTAGCTAGTGCTTGTTTTTCTTGTAGAATGGAAACGATCATTTCCCATATGTCTACCTTTAGAGTCGGTTCAAATTTGTACTTTTTTGGTCCATTTATCTAGGAATTTAATTGAGTCTGGGTGTTTTTGGTTCATGGATTTAACATCTTTGGCGAGCGCTTTCGTAGAAGACTTACTTTTATTACTTCCCATGATGTATAAGTATAAATACTGCGTTGTGTTTTATTAATATATTTGTGTGAGTGGTTCAATTGAAAATTTCTCATGGACTCTCTGCACCTCCTGAGAAACAGGCTTCTGGATCAATCAGAGGGATTGATTCAGTATCTCGCTTTGGGTTCTAATCCCGAAGGTTACAGAGATTTTAGATTCAAAGACCACGTCACCTTAAAAAAAAATCCTAATAGAAGTTTAAAAATGAATCACAGCCTGTACGTTGGCACCGTTAGGTTTCAAGGCTGCAATTTCAATTGTAAACCTCTCAGTTATACATGCATTCACGCATTCACTCACAACAGAGAATAAGAGGAAATAGGGAAAGAGAAAAAGTCACAGAGTAATGCGTCTAAGAGAAAACTTCCTTTTAGCTGAACCTCACTTGTATATTCAAAAACAGGTCTCGGTAGATTGGTCTCACTATTATTAGCTCTTGACTAAATTTACCTCACTGTGAAAATTGAAGGCCTCGATTCTTGTAGTTAAACTTAATGAGCGCTATTTAGTTCTAACTTTATAGTTAAGAATCTCACTTCCTTAAAATTTGAAGGTCTTGGTTCAGCGTGGACTTGTTACCGTATTTTCTGCAGTATAAGAACCAGTATGTTATACTCACTCCTTGTCAACCCGTGTGGTGTCCGGTTGGATTTCCGTCAATCTGCCATCGATGGTCCGAGTCAGACTTACAAACGCCGGCCTGCGGAGAACGTCCCAGGACTTCTGGTCTCGCCGTGCACGGACTGCGGCGCGCCTTCGTCGGAGTCCATCGCAAGCAGAAAAGAGGAAATCCGGGTCACGGCACCAAGTTAATGTCAGAGTTTTGTCTGTACCTGTATTATTAAAGAAACACACAGAGAGACAAGGATGAGTTTTCAAGCTTTGCAAAGGAGACAATGCTTCAACCGAAGTCAGAGCAAAGTCTGACTCGCTTTGGTCTATGCTCGCTTTTTATTGAACAAGTAGGAGCGGTTTACAGAAAGAACAGATAATGCAGATGCGGCAGTTTTTTAGATGGCAGGAACTGCAATGTCAGGTCAAAACATCCTCTGGAAAGTTTTGATCCACGCTGCTCTCAGCTGTCCAGCCAACAACATCTTGCATAACGCAGATGTCCAAAGTGCTCTTACACAAACAGACACTTTGTTGAAACAAGTGTGCTGATAAGAAAAACAGTTAAAATGATCAATAGTCAAAACTCTCCAACATTAAGCCCCTCCATTTGCAACTGGGTACTATACTTATTAACAAACAGACCACAGTAAGTGAGCATCCACAACTTTTCCTCCTCCACTATAACCCTCAGCACTGGCTGTCCTCAGGGATGTGTATTGAGCCCTCTCCTGTTTACTCTGCTCACATATGATTGTGCAGCTACCCATCCAGGCTGTCACATTGTAAATTTTGCATATGATACAGCAGTGGTGGGATGTATCACGAACAATGATGAGTCCAGCTACAGGCAAGAGGTGGAACACCTGGAGAGCTGGTGCAAAGAGAATAACCTTCACATCAATGTGAAGAAGACAAAGGAGGTGGTTGTGGACTTCAGAAGGGACCAATACACCTACACCCCAATGAACATAAGAGGATCTGCGGTGGAAGTGGTCTCCAGCTACAAGTACTTGGGTGTACACATGAATGACAACCTCAGCTGGGGCAACAACATCACCAGCCTGATCAAGAAAGCTCATCAGAGACTCTACTTCCTCACACGGCTGAGATGAGCTGGTCTGGGAAGCTCAGTCCTCACCTCTTTCTACGGGTGTGCAGTGGAGAGCATCCTGTGCTCCAGCATCAACATGTGGCATGGAGGCTGCACAGCTGCAGAAAGAAAAGCTTTGCAGAGAGTGGTGAAGGCTGCACAGAAGACTGTTGGAGTCAGTCTCCCCACCATCAGACATTTACACCTCCAGATGCAGGAAGAGAGCCACCTGCATCATGAAGGATCCCACTCACCCAGCACACACATTTTTTGCCTCACTCCCTTCGGGAAGGAGGTTGAGAAGCATTAAGTGTAGAACCACTAGACTGAGGAACAGCTTCTACCCTGAAGCTGTTAGACTCATGAATCTCTAACCAGGTTAATCACTGTGAAAAATCATATCACGTTGCTGGTGATCTGTTTCAATGTTGATGCGTGCTCATCTGCTCACACAGACTCATGTTCATGTTCGTGCTGCTGTTCGACGTAATTATGTATTGTATGTAATACGTATTAATGCTTAGTGTATTTTTAGCTGATGTTTTTCTTAGTTAATATATTACATGTTATCATTGTTTTTCTTTTACATTTTTATTGTTGGATATAACTGGGACCAGGTGTACATAATTTCGTCCCACCACATGTACCACATGGGGTGTTAATGACAATAAAGAATCTCTGACTCTGACTCTGACCAACACACCAAGCTAACTGCATTCAGCCTAACTGTGCTTCTGTGAATTTCACTGGTAGAAAATAAATGTATTGAGGAAATGTTCCTCCAGTCCAGTAGCAACTGAATCACTGGGACACTGGTTGCTGACAAACTGTCCATTTTCTCTCTCCCTTCAGCACTAAAGTGCCCCCCTGGCAGTTATTATGACCCATGTGGCCCTGCTTGCCCCCAGCCCAGCTGTCAGGATCCTGCAGGTGTGAGGGGCTTCTGTGACCGACCCTGTGTGGAGGGCTGTGTCTGTAACCCTGACCTGGTCCTCAGTGGAGACAAATGTGTGCCCCTCAGTGAATGTGGCTGCGCTGGTGAAGATGGAAAATACCACCCGGTAGGTGCTCATGAAGTCAAGTCAACTTTTTATATAAAGCACATTTAAAACAGCAGCTGTTAGCAAATGCTTAGCTGTAAAATCAATAAGAGTAATTTCATGAAAAAGTAAGAATAAAAACAATGTTAGAACTGAAAATTAATTACAAGCATCAAAAGTAAAACAGAGAAACACAGATCAATAAAATACTAAATAAAGTCATACTGTGTAAAATGCCAGGGAAAACAGATGTGTTTTTAGCAGAGATTTAAAAACAGAAAGTGAAGTGGCCTGCCTGATATTGGGGGGCGGATTGTTCCAAAGCTTTGGGCCCACGACGGAAAAAGCTCGATAACCTCTGAGCTTCAGTCTTGCTTTTGGAACAGCCAAAAGCAGCTGATCAGATTATCTCAGGGCCCTAGAAGGAATACAGTAGTCCCTCCCTCGTTTATTGCGGGGGATCTGTACCCTGAAGCCCCGCGATAAGAGAAAAACAGCGAAATAGGAATAGAAGTACAAGTAGAAAGTAGTTTATTTTAGTATCTATCTATCTATCTATCTATCTATCTATCTATCTATCTATCTATATATATATATATATATATATATATAT